ATTAAATAGATTTGAGTAGACTGGAATAGATATGAACAAACTCCCCTCTCTCTCTCTCTCTCTCTCTATATATATATATATATATATATATATATATATATATATATATATATATATATATAGAGAGAGAGAGAGAGAGAGATAAATAGATATGAATAGATTAAAATAGATAAACAAACTCTCTCTTTCTCTTTATATATACATATATGTGTGTATGTGTGCAAAGATAGATAGATAGATAGATAGATAGATAGATAGATAGATAGATACCTATCTACCTACCTACATTTGCATTAATATGTAGGATTAGTCTTAGTTGTAGTTATGATTGTCCATGAAATAATCCGTGAACTTAGGAATAATGATACAAATAGTTCAGCCATTTTTACCTCTCGATTTCAACGCATAAAAACGCCTTAACAGTGAACACTATATATTCTTTGGTAAAGTATTTCGCTTTTTACGTCTCTTTCCAACTCTTCTCTTTTTTCTCCTCCCGCTTCCCCCTTTATCTTTCTGTCGATCTACCTTTCATTTCAAACACTTCGCTTCACATATTGACCTTTTATTATTCTCTGTTTAATGAGCTCATCAAACGGCCTGCATTCTTGTCGCTTCGTATTCTCAATTGTCAACATACACACAGAATAATCTACGCATGCGCGTGCACTCCGTTGGCACAAAAACCAACGTCAAGAAGAATAAGTAAACAAAACGTCCACACTCTTGAGAAGACATGTTTGTGTTTTTACCCCGCGGCTACGCACAGAAGCATACTGTATTTTCCAGCGTCGAAGACGTGCCAATTTCCAAGATGTACTTCTATTTTGTTCTGGATAGCGCAGGTGATGGGGATTGGTGTTTGTTACGGCTATGCGAGTAAAAAATTAAAAAAAAACAACATATTCTTACCGATTCCAGGAAAACAGCGTAACATTTAAAAAAAGAATATTACATCTTGCAACGCCATATTGTAAAGTTTTATATTTGCGAAACATTTATTGTTTGGCGGCAAAAGATTGTTAATTAATTTTCACTACATTAATAATTACGAGATAAACCGTAATTTGATGACATGAAATGTTCTTATTAGAGGCACCTCCATTTCAGCAGAGTATTATCGGGGAAAGGTTTTTAATATATTTAAGAATATAATATTTAAATCAAGTTATCCGTGCATAACGAAACATTACAAAAACACCCTAGCTATAGCTGAAAACATTACTGTATATAAAAAGCAAGCTTGAGGTACAGTCACAATGTAAAATGTCTCACCTCTTTTCTTCTTTGGCCGCTTTGTATGACAGGAGACACGATGGAATAATGGATTACTACTAGGAAAGTTCGTTCCCTTTGTCGTGCCAGACAATTTTTCTGATCAAAATCAAGTTTATAAATCTATCATTTGTCTGTACATTGAATATTGTTGCCATATTGTCTGGTACTCCGTTTATATATCTGAAGACTCTCGACAAAATCCTAAGAAGGATCTGTAATGTAATCGTCTCTGACCTGGCATCTCGACTTCAGTTATTTTCCCACCACTATACCATAACTTCCTATGTCTTTCCTATAAATATTTTCATGGCAATTGTTCAAATGAGCTCTCTTCTTTTGTATCCCAATTTCATGATTTTAAGCATACTACTAGATTGGCAATTAGGTCTCATCGTTTTACTGTTGAACTAGATAGATGCAACCGTCAGTCCTATTATAATAATTTCTTTTCACGCACTTCTCACTTGTGGAACTCTCTTCCGGTTTCTTGATTTCCTGTAACATCAATCGCAATCTTCTGTCTTTTTGAATCTTGTTTTTTTATTGTCCTATCTCCTCACTAATATTCTCATTTTCTTTCACTCCCAGTACTACGTCCTAGTAGCTTTACTGCCTTGCTTAATGTGAAATGATTAAATAAAAAAGGACAAATTGTTATATGTTTTGGCATTTCCTTCTAAAATAGTAAATCATAACTTTCAGTTTGATTTTCCTTTCGTTTTTAAAATAGACAAAGCATTCAAAAAATGTTGTTTTCACTATCAACAAATACATTCATACCTATAAAATATGTTATCAACCATGGTTTACATTGGAATATAACCATGGGTTCTAATGGTTTACATTGGAATATAACCATGGGTTTTCATGGTTTACATTCAAATATAACTATGGGTTTTCATGGTTTACATTGGAATATAACCATGGGTTCTAATGGTTTACATTGGAATATAACCATGGGTTTTCATGGTTTACATTCGAATATTACAATGGCTTTTCATGGTTTACATTCGAATATAACTATGGGTTTTCATGGTTTACATTGGAATATAACAATGGGTTTTCATGATTTGCATTCGAATATATCCATGGGTTCTAATGGTTTACATTGGAATATAACAATGAGTTTTCATGGTTTACTTTCGAATATAACAATGGGTTTTCATGGTTTACATTCGAATATAACAATGGCTTTTCATGGTTTACATTGGAATATAACCATGGGTTCTAATGGTTTACTTTGGAATATAACAGTGGATTCTCATGGTTTACATTCGAATATAACCATGGGTCCTAATGGTTGTACACAGCAATGAACTGACAACAGCATCTCCATAATCAAGCAATGGCGGTTCGGAACGTGTTCTCATGGTAGTGACAGGCAAATAAATGACAATGTTGACTCCATAGGTAAAGGAACGTTTTGCAAATCATGAATTCTAATGTTTGCATCGAGCAAATAATTGGTAACGATGACACCGTAAGCAAACACTGACTACTTGAAACGAGTTGTTAATCATGGATTCTAATAATTGTAGCTAAAAAGTAACTGGCAACAGTGTTTTCATATGCCAAAGAATGACAGTTTGGAACATGTTGTCAGTAAAATGGCTTCTAATGTAGAGTCATTTTAAACATCTTTCCGCCGAGGCCAGTTTAAGTGGAGAGATGTTAAAATGAGCTCTTTTTGTTGCTACACTATGCTGGACAATCTCCTCACAGATGAAGAAGAGACTTGAGGCAACAGAGATGTGGTTCTACAGAAGGATGTTGAGAATACCATGGACTGAATATGTGAGTAACAAGGAAGTTTTAAAGAAAATGGTGGTGGGGAAGGCAATTATACTTAACATTAAAAACAATTGAAATATCTAGGGCACATAATAAAAGAGAACTTGGAAAATTTAACACTCACAAGAACAAATGGAGAAAGTAAAACAGCGATTAACTTACCTAACGAACTTACGTAACTGGATGGCAGAAAAGGTTTAAGGAGAGATGACAAAAGAGACAAAAATTAATAATTTAAATATAAGTAAATAAAATCAAAATAATTTTCCAAAGCTCCTTTTTCTGAATAACTATTAAAATAAAATTCCCTTTAAATGCAAACTTGGAATGGTTTTTCTTTCTAAAAATGAATTCTAAAAACTCTTCCTTTATAATCAAAGCGTTTCATGAACTTTCAGACTTTGACCATACTTGCCAGTAAAAATGTTTGAATAAATCTTCCTCGATAGATATTAAGTGTGGCTGTACAGGAACCGTAAAGATTTTATCTGGGCGGAAAATTAAAGTCCTCGGGGAAGCGAACGCTTTGGCATAAAATATTTTCTTATCATTACTTTTATTAATATTTTATTTGCAGATGTATCTATTTATATCTGAATACTATACACACACACATAAACACTCATAGACACACACACATGTATATATATATATGTGTGTGTGTGTGTGTGTGTGTGTAAATATAAATGACAATAGGAAAACTGCAGTAGTTGCCGACGCGTTTCGTCCAATGTGGACTTTCTCAAGACAAAAAACGAAATGAATTTATTTAAACAAAGTAACTAATAATAACAAAAGCAAAATGTCCTTAGCAACTGGAAGTATTTAGAGAACGCTATATTCATGCTGTTAACTGAAAATTACGTCAATTACTGTCACGTGTGGAGATATTGTTATTATTGCTGTGTTGATGGATTCAACCATTTTCTTTTGATTTCACGATATTGTTGTGTACGTTTGTTTGGGAGAGCAGTAATTCTATTAAGAAAGGTGAAATAGGGAAAAAGCCTGGCCGTAGATTAATATTTGGGTAATATTCAATGGCGGCACTCTCTAGGATTTCCCTTCTGAGTGAGTTATTTTCTTTTATGGGTGTAGCATCAAAATTGTGGTTGAATTTATTTCTATGTATGACTAGTGCATTAGTTGTTTTTTGTGAGGTCTCTTTTGTACATATAAATGCGTTTTTTTTTTAATTTCTACTTGTTTCTCCAATATATTGGGAGGAACAGTTTTGGCAATTTATTTTATAAATGCCTGCTTCAGAAATATAATTGCTATACACACAGACCTAAACACTCATACACACACACACATATATATATATATATATATATATATATATATATATATATATATATATATATATATATATATATTGAAAACTAGAGTCTGAATAAATCATTGAAAACCGGATATAAAAAAAACCGTAATATATGCAACACAATATATATAACATTCTTCAAAGAGTGATAGTTGATTTGCTAGTCCATTCGTTGCAATAGTTGATATCCCATGAGTTGCACTACAATTATAGACGTGTACCGGACTAAATATACTTTATTCAATTTTTATGTTTCTTCCGCTCGAAAATAATGCAAGTAGAACATGACATTTAATGGACATTCCTCGTAAAACACTCAACTTTCAAAAAAGGAAATGAAAAAGAAATGACGATGTAGGAGACATTTTCTGATAAATGATGTGCATTGATTTTAAAAGCAATCGATCACTATCCAACATATTAAAAGCAATCGATCTCTTCCACTCTATTTAAGTAAATGACACTGAACACGTGTTGCTAACAACGAATTCATAATGAGATCAAATTATATCCACACATCACAGAAATTCTGATTGTTAAATAAAAGAGACACCGAACGCTTCGTGTGCGCGTCTATTTAGATACTAACCGCATTTATAACAGGGAAATGAATGTTTTAGCTCAGTGTGTCCATTATCTATCTATCTATCTATCTATCTATTTGAGTTTTTCATCTGTGTATCTATCTATCCCTCTATTTCAATCTGTTCGTCTATCTATCTATCTATTTCAGTCTGTTCATCTATCTATCTATTTCAGTTTTTCATCTATCTATCTATCCCTCTATTTCAGTGTATGTATGTATGTATGTATGTATCTATCTATCTATCTATCTATCTATCTATTTGAGTTTTTCATCTATGTATCTATCTATCCCTCTATTTCAATTTGTTCATCTATCTATTTATCTATCTATCTATTTCAGTCTGTTCATCTATCTATCTATTTTAGTTTTTCATCTATCTATCTATCTATTTCAGTCTGTTCATCTATCTGTCTATCTATTTCAGTCTGTTCATCTATCTATCTATCTATTTCAGTTTTTCATCTATGTATCTATCCCTCTATTTCAATCTATCTATCTATCTATCTATCTATCTCACTCTTTTCATCTATCTATCTATCACAATATCTTCATATCTATCAATTTATCTATCTCCCTCTGTTTATATCTATCTATCTATCTATCTATCTATCTATCTATCTATCTATCTATCTATCTATCTATCTCAATGCCTTCATACGTATCACTTTTCATCTATGTATCTCTCTTTCTCTATATTATTTCAGTCTCTTTATATATATCTGTCTATCTATCTATCTGTATGTCTTTCTTTCACTCTATCTATCTCTCTATCTATCTCGGTGTATCTCTTTCTATCTTCACGTGGACAACTATGACAATCACGTGTCCCAATCATACACAACTTTTAATCTGGATTCGATCTCTTGATAGAACTCATCCATCATTTATTAAAAGAATCAAATCAAAGGCAGACTCCATGAATGATTCCACGGACACTTGGAGACGCACTGTCTTCAATAGTACTAACGGGGATGGGTAGGAACTTTGGAGAAAGTCCAGCGATCTTTTCATCGGATATTCACAGAGCCGCTGGCTATGGAATCTTCATCGACAAAGAATAAAGAGAAACCCATACAATCGACAAAAGAATTTTTTTTTTCTTTTCGCGTGACATTGACACAACCAAAGCTAGATCAAAAGCCTTCTTATACCCAGAAGGGGAGGTTCACACCAGAAAACTGACAACAAATACATTGACAACAGAGACAAAGAAAGAAAGAAAGAAAGAAAGAAAGAAAGAAAGAAAGAAAGATTATCACGTAAAGGGAAAAGATTTTAAACGGATGCGAATACACTGTTATCTATCTATCTATCTATCTATCTATCTATCTATCTATCTATCTATCTTTCCGATAATGGAACACTTAAAGCTAACTGATTATAATACCAGGAATTAGCAAATACCCAGAGTTCAAAAATTGATTTTCAAGATGGATACTTTGTCTTCCTCATGTTGAAGATGTACACTCTGTCCCTCTGTCTGCCTGTCCGTTTGCCTGTCTGTCTGGATATATATATATATATATATATATATATATATATATATATATATATAGATAGATAGATAGATAGATAGATAGATAGATAGATAAACAAGAGCACAGTCAGACAGATATAAATATCATCATCAGATAGATAGATAGATAGATAGATAATCAAACCGATAGACATATGGGCATGAATAGTATATATATATATATATATATATATATATAAGAGAGAGAGAGAGAGAGAGATAGATAGATAGATAGATAGATAGATAGATAGATAGATAGATAGATAGATAATCAAACCGATAGACATATGGACATGAATAGAATACAGACAGATAGATAGATAGATAGATAGATAGATAGATAGATAGATAGATAGATAGATAGATAGATAAACAGGAGCACAGTCAGATAGATGTATAAACATCATCATCAGATAGATAGATAGATAGATAGATAATCAAATCGATAGACATATGGGCATGAATAGAATATATATATATATATATATATATATATATATATATAGATAGATAGATAGATAGATAAATAGATAGATAGATAGATAACAATCGAGCTTGTTAAATAAAATAGTTATGAATAGAGTTTTTTTTTCGGTATGAAAAGAATACCTGCAGCTAAACCAAGAATTCTTTTCTGTCTGTTGGCACCAGGTAAACCAATACTGCGTGTCTTATGTTGCAAGAAACCAAAATAATCACAGCCAATTAAATCCCTTGCCCTGGAGATTCTAAGAAAAATCCAGTATGGCGCCCAGACTATTTCCAAGATCATGGGACCAACCAATAAACATGATTATTTTTATGTTGTTTATAACGACTTTTTTCTACTCGTGGATTCTTCCCCCCTTTTCCCTCCCTATTATTATAATGCCGAAAAATCACATTCAAAATCTGAAATTAGTAACCAACCAAATACCAATCAATCAAGTCTATATATATATATATATATATATATATATATATATATATATATATATATATATATATATTCCAGTCGAAAGCATTACATTCACTTACGTGCTAATACCCTTGGGAAAGGTATGAATCCTCTTCCTCTCCCTCCAGCTATGGGTAAAATAGCAGGACAGACTGGGTTCTATAGCCTTGGATGGTAACTGGTCTAGGAGAAGGACAACTCTGAATTCAAAACCTGCGGAGGGTCGTTTGGGAACCTTGTGGCATTCGGTGCACCAGGTCTCTGTATTCGTCCCTTCAAAAAGTGTGGATGGTCCTGCACGAGGCCTTCACCACTATAATCAAATCTCATGTGCCGGTGTCGGGTTGTCGGTTAGATACAAATATTTAAGTAAATGCTCTGTTTTATAATAAACAGTATTAATAACATTTACTGGCCTGAATGTCCGAGAAATTTTCATAGAAAATGTTCGTCCTCCGACAGGAATCGAACCTGTATCCTCTACGGAACCGTATATATAGCCTAACGTGCCTCAACCGATTGAGCCATGGAGGATCGTTCGATTAGCAAGGTCGATTTTACTGCGTTTAAACTTCAATCTTCCATGATTCTCTCACGTACATTCATATCTGCTCAAAGCGTATCTAAATGTAAACAAATGCCGTCACACATTTTCGACAATTATTTTAAGACATTTTTATGTTTATACATTCTTTTTATAGATACAAGTATTTAAGTAAATGTTCTATTTTATAATAAACAGTATTAAACAACATTTACCGGCCTGAATGTCCGAGAAATTTTCATTTTGAAATTGTCCATTTCATAATATATATATATATATATATATATATATATATATATATATATATATAGTACTGGTAATAAATTCGTTGGTATCCAAGTAGATCCTTGTCATATCAAATATTAAAACTGATCCACATAAATCAAATAAAAAATTACCTCATATAGATCTATTTCAACCAACGAGAAGTGCGTTAGTGTTATTCAACCCCGGTGTATAGACTGGGTTCGTGCCGGAATTAGAAATTTAAAATTTAACTTTGATAGCATTATATATATATATATATATATATATATATATATATATATATATATATATATAATTATGCATTTGGGCAGCAATCCCTCTTTTATATATGTTTCTTTAAAAACAACCAACAAAGGTACTGCGTTTAAGATTTTATTTTATTTTCCTTGTGTTCTTATAATTTTCTTTTCTAGGCATAAATTATGTAGAAATTGTCCGAATGTTCTGTATGTCCAGATATAAAAATATCTAATATAATATATTTGAGAGATTCCAAAGTAAGCTTTGTACTCGGTGTCACCTCAGAATGTCAAAAAAAGCTTAGTGCCTCAGAAGGTAACTTCATAGCCACCATGTGCGTCAAAGAATGTCGGGAATTGCGCCGACCGACATAAGCAGCAAGTGAGTCCAGCTGAACTTAGGATATACTAAAACAGGACAACTGGATGGCAGGAAATTATATTAATGCCTAATCAATGGTCCAGAAGAGAGAGTCCCTCACATCCTGGTGAAAAGATCGAACATTCGAAGAAAATCCTTGAAATTAAACTTTAATCCACTAGCCTTGTGGACATTCATGAGTGTAAAACTTGGAGCCTTAAACCAAATCTGCTTACCGCTGAGGCTGCTACTACTTGTTACACTTGATTGTATTCACCGAGGCTTTTCTTTTCTTATTGCTGCTGCTTCTGCCGTTTGTTAAAACCTTGCTGTCATCTCTCTTCCTTTATCCATTAACAGCTCCCATATTGTATTCATTTCAACTCTAGGCCTACTAAGGAGATCCTCGTAGCCTAACATATGGGCTGATTCTTTCAGACCTGTAACTCTCTAGTGTTCTTCTCTGTCTAGAATTTTACTTCATTCCACAGAGGTTGGGGATTACAAAAAATCAGGCTTGGTTGGTCATGTACGGATAAAGCCTCCATAAATGATCAGCCATACTTGATTTCATTGTTTCTTCTATGTATGTATGAAAACGTTAGTTCCGTATTCTTATCAGATGCTGTTAACATAACGTTACGCTAAGCTTGTCAAATAACTTCTGCTGAATGAAGATTAATAAAGAAGTTTATATTTAATAGCTGTTCAATCAGATTGTGTTTTGTTGATCTTTGTTGATAAATTTGAATTCCTAAGGATTCAAAGATGTTAATGAGTATCTTACTGGCTGTTTTTCATTGAAAATGCATTAATGCGATAAAAAAATGACGAATATTTGTGGGGTGTATACAGGCGCATTGACTGTGCATAAATCCGGACAATAATTTTTAATAATTCGTCTTTCTGTAAACCTTGCTCACGAAGTCAACGATTTCGGATTATAATCTTTATAAAAAATCACATCGCCATCAAAGCACCAGAAATATAACAAAAAAGGGCACGATGTATCATGTTTAGCTATGTCTCAAGGAAATTTGGAAAGCAATCTAAGGAGAACACGTGCGTTCCCCATAAACATTTAATCGACAGAGACGTGGTTCTGCCGGCGAGTGCTAAGAGTAACATGAACGAAAGATGTAAACCATTTGGCCAACGCGCATCAGTACAGACGAAAAAGAGGCCCCGGATCGCGTGCAGATATGTCTAAAACGTGTTACATTCGAATTTCAACCGTTAGCAGCAGAACAGCTTGGGATGTTCAGATACAGGCCTCTCTACAACTTGTCTATATCCGGGTTTCTCTCAACTGTTTCATGTCAATAAAAGCGACGGGAAAGCCTGCAGACAGTAGTGGGCAATTGTCTGTTGACGAGACTCGGTGTCTGGTAAAGTCCTTCCCGTGGCAATTTTGTTCCTAAAGTGGTTGTCCCGTGGTTTCTGAGACAGTGTCATTTTGCTACCTCCCGTCTATTTCTCTCTCTCTCTCTCTCTCTCTCTCTCTCTCTCTCTCTCTCTCTCTCTCTCTCTGACTATTAATCCCGCAATTGGTTAGGTGTTTCCCCCAACTTCAACAAATCATTGCCGTATTTTACAACTTTTAAAATTTAAGAAAAATAGGACGAACAGGAAAACGTATACTTACAATCAGAAAAAGACTGTTGAAACTCAGGGAATACCTAATTAAGAAAGAGGGCCTAGAGAATTTAATACTCACAAGACATACTGAATGCAAGAGGAGAAAGGGGAAAAATTAACCTAATGAACAAGTTTATGCTAATTACTGTGTTCTGAAAATATGTTAGCAGCTATAGTTTCCCCTCAAATTGCTCTTTCTTCTTCAATGTGCTGTATCTCTTCATGACGTAGGCAATCATGGCTCCCCACAATTTCCTGTCTTTTGTAGCTCTTAATAACTTTTGCCTTTTTTTCTTTATTCTATACAGTCATCCGTTTACCCAAGCTCATTAAGTTATGCGTTGTTTTCCTCTATTCGTTTTGCCTTGTCATGTGGGTATCTGATTTTCCAAGCCCTCTTTCCTCATTATGATCCCTAGAAATTTCAACTGTTTCTGCCTGATATTAAGTATAAGCTTCCTTTTTGTTGCCAATTTCTCTAAAACTTCCTCTTTGCTCCCCAAAAATACGTTTACCATTTTACATATATGTATATATAGAAATGTGTAAAATTTTCAGATAGAGTATATAGATAGGACAATATGAATAACGTTTTCCTTTTGTTTTATTCATATATATATATATATATATATATATATATATGGGTCCGTATATGGTAAATAAACGTATGTATGCTCTTGTTGAATAGTTGGTGGCTAAACCTGTTACCTTACTCCAAGCTCTTTCGAGTGAGACGGTTTGTTAACAACCACGTAGGATGAAAAAGAAAACCTTTCAAAGGGTGAAAAACATCTTGGCAAGTGAACGGCAAGCTAATTAAAGATGGGGTCTGAATAGATAAACGTGCAACGGGAAACCACTCCACTATCAATCCCAAAGAAATCTTATGGCATTTAACACACAATTGCTCTTTACAGTGTCATAAACATAAATAGATATTAATCAAGATAACTTACTGAACTCGATAAAATGACTACAGAAACTCTAACACGAGATTAAATTTTATGAAAGCTGATTTTTTTTCACTTTCATACAGTTTGATCCCAGTCCGGATTTTTTTACTTGCATAGTGTTTGACTCCAGACTGGAGTTTTTTACTTTCAAAGTGTTTGAGCCCAATCTGGAGTTTTTTTTTTTTTTACTTTCAAAGGGTTTGACCCCGGTCTGGAGTTTATTAATTTCATAGTGTTTCACCCCATCTTGAGTTTTTCACTTTCATAGTGTTTGAACACAGTCTGGAATTTATTTATTTTCATAGGGTTTGACTCCAGTCTGGAGTTTTTTACTTTTGTGTTTGACCCCAGTCTGGATGCTTTTTTTTACTTTCATAGTGTTTGACACCATACTGGAGTTTTTTAATTTCTTAGTGTTTGAGCCTAGTCTGCAGTTTTTTACTTTCATGGTGTTTGAACCCAGACTGGAGTTTTTTCTTTCATACTGTTTGACTCCAGACTGGAGTTTTCTATTTTCAAAGTGTTTGACTTCAGCCTGGAGTTTTTACTTTCATTGTGTTTGAATCCAGTTTGGAGATTTTTACTTTCATAGGGTTTGACCCGATTCTGGAGATTTTTACTTTCATAGGGTTTGACCCGATTCTGGAGTTTTTTTACTTTCATAGTGTTTGACACCAGTCTGGAGTTTTTTTACTTTCATAGTGTTTGACACCAGTCTGGAGTTTTTTTTACTTTCATAGTGTTTGACACCAGTCTGGAGTTTTTTACTGTCATAGTGTTTGAACACAGTCAGGATTTTTTTTACTTTCATAGTGTTTAACTCCAGACTGAAGTTTTTTACTTTTATATTGTTTGACCCTAGTCTGGATGATTTTACTTTTATAATTTTTGACTCCAGACTTGAGTTTTTTTACTTTCATAGTATTTGACACCAGTCTATTTGCCTCTAGCATCCTAACAGGTGCCCCCCCCCCGTGTCAGGGTGAACCTGGAAACAGCAGTAATTAAGAAGTGGTTCCCTGCGTGTCAAAATTTCCAATGTCCCCGGTCAGTGGTCTTGCATCCGGATGTCATTTATCGTCATACCTAGGACAGAATATAAATATATTTATATATAAATTCACCAATGTTTGATTATTTTAGTTTATTGCTAAAGATTTGGACGCATATTTACGCTATGTCGGTTTCTTTATTTTTAAATATCGTCTTTCTGCATCTTTACATGACATTCATGTCGACATTTTTTAAAAATATATTTACTATGGATATTCCTTAATTTGTTATCCTTTTATTGATCTTGGGTTGTTTTCTTTTTATGTTTAATGCGTCTAATATTTGTAGTCGTTTTTTTTTATATTTTATGTGATATAGTATTTTGTATTGTTTATGTCATATAGTATTTTGCGTTATAGGATTTATTGTGTTTTTTGTTGTGTCCGGTGTGTGATATGTAATTTAATGAAGATATTATCAGACAAATATTAGGTTAAACGACGCTATAATGTAGTGTTTGTGAAACCAACGTATCTTATATTAGAAATATTATTATTAAGGAAGCATTTTACAAGGGGTTTGGTTTGGTTTATTTTGTTTTACAGCATATCAACCGCAATGGGTTATTTAATACCGACAACATTTTTAGGATAGATTCGTATGAATAGAATATGTATTCTTTGGTTTAGATTGGTTTGGTTTATTTTGTTTTACGGCATATCAACCTCAATGGGTTATTTAATGCCGACAAGATTTTTTATTGCTGGTAATATTTTTTTCAAAAATATATTGCTGGTAATATTTTTTTCAAAAAATATATTGCTGATAATATTTTTTTTCCAAAAATATATTGCTAGTAACATTTTTTTTTTCAAAAATATATTGCTGGTAACAATGTATAGCTGGTAATTTTTTTTCCTTCAAAAATTCATTTTTTTACAAAAATGTATTGCTTGTACTAAAAACTCCATTTTGATAATGTTTTGACCCATTTGGGGGATTAACTATTTGCCCATAGCTGGGACCCTAACAGGTGCTACCACCCCGGGTCAGGGTGGACCTGGGAACACCAGCAATTAAGAAGTGGTTCCATGCTCCTCAAAACCTCCTGATCAGAGGCCTTGCTGTTGGATGTAGTTTATCGTCTTACCCAGGATGCGGATGTAGTTTATCGTCTTACCCAGGACGAAACTTGTTTACATCTATCTGATTTAATCTTTTCCTTTAGATATAGTGGTCCGTATCGATATTAAAACCCTACTTTAAATTATTCGTTGTTTTCTACGATAGCCAATGTTTATGTTAATAAAATTTGTTTAAATAATCGAACAAGCCTTATTTGTATAGATCCCAGACTATAACTGCTCCTACTCTTTTATGTTTTATTTTATATTCTTTAGGAGACAGCTCTCTGCATTCATTTATGACGTTTGCATCCACATTAATTTCGTCCACAAAGGCGGAACTGGAGTTTTATCAGTGTCGTATATCATTTTACTTTGATGTAACCACTATAGTTGCATGCATGGGTTTTTATGACGTCTTTAGTGAATTTGCGACTAGATATTGAATGGCATGGAAATAAGTACCTAGAGTAGGGAAGAAAAGTAAAACATATAACAGGGAGGACAGTAAGAGAAACTTTTTTTTTAAATAATAATTCTGCTATTCTGGTAGAGGCTGCAGGAACTGGGTTAAATAATAGCCGAACAACAGTTACATCAACTTCAACATCTTATATGAGAGACGGAAAATATTTTTCAGACATTTGAAATTAAAAAAAAGTGTAGGGTTTTATAAAGCATCAAATATGGTAAATGGGGTTATAACGAATCCCTTCACATGTCTCCAAATTTCTTCTGCAATCTGTTTTTTTCTTCAGTTTCTTCAAATATTATCAAAGGTTTTCAGCATTCTTGGGTTTCGATGGTCTTTTACCAGTTTTTAGATTCTTATCTCGCACTTCTCGTTTGTGGAACACCCTCCCGTCTCCATGTTTTCCAACCAACTTTAATCGGCAAAAATTTAAATATAATGTTAATCGCGATCAACTGTCCTGATTACACTTTTTCTCTTTCTCCCCCTTAATAGGGTGATACCGATTAGAAAAAATATTTTCAGCAGATTTCTGTTTCCGTAGTCTTCGGTTTCTTGAAATATCTCAAAATTTATCCAGCATTCTTGCGCTGCCCTGATCTATCTTCATTTTCTTCAAATATCTCCAAATTTCTTCAGATTTCTTGCGCCTACGTGGGCTTTTTTTTTTCAGATTCTTTTATTACACGCAAATTTCTTTAGCATTCTTGTGACTTTGTGATCTTTGTTCAGTTTCTTCAAATATCACCAACTTTCTTCAGAATTCTTGCGCTTTGAGGCCTATGTTCACTTCCTTCAAATATCTCCAAATATCTTCAGAATCGTTACGTTTCTGAGGCCTTTCTTTAGATTCTTCAAACATTTACAAATTTCTACAGCGTTCTCGCGTCTGCGTGGACATTATCGGCGTCTTCAAAACTCCTCAAATTCTTTCAGCATTCTTGCGTCTCCGTGGTCTTTCTCTAATTCCTTTAAATACCACTAAATTTCTGCAGCATTCTTCCGACGTGTTTTTTTTTTCGAATATCTTCAGATTTCTTCGGCATTTTGACGTTTCTGTGATCTATATTCCGTTTCTTCAAATGTCGCCAAATTTCTTCAGCATTCTCGCGATTCCGTGTTTTTTCTGCCCTTTCTTCAAATATCTCCAAATTTCTTCGGCATTCCTCCTCTTCGTGGATAATCTTCCGTTTCTTCAACTTCACCCAAGCGATCTCTTGTGCCGTTTCCTCCTGTGCCAATTCGTATTATACCGAACCCCAAATTTCATTTCCACAATTTCATTTGCTATGTACTGCTGATCTAGCAGACTTGGCTTTTATGATCTTGTCCATCTCTCCTTGTTGAAGCGGTCTGTCTACCGCTCAGTGTCCCACTGTATTTTAATCCTGGTGCCGATCAATGATAATGGTGAAATAAGGCCGTCTCCTTACAGGATTGATTAATTCATTTGCTTTTTTAAGGCTTATCAACCTTTTGTGGATTATTTAAAGGCCAACGCATATTTCTTATTATCCGCGGTCGTTTGCAATATCTTAGCTTCGCTAATCGAACAAGACCCTTTGTTTTTAGCATGATTTTACCGCTCTATACTCTATAGTTCGCCATTCATTCACCAATCAGTTAGTGTTACTTCCGATAAGAAATTAAGCTTTTCAAGACTACTGTTATCGCTTTTACAGCCATTGTTGGGCGTTTTTGTTTATGGAAAATTAACATCAACATTATATTATTCTTTTCCCTCCTTGTTACACGTGCCAACCATTTCTGTTGTTGCTGCTGTTGGAAGTCTTCAAGTGATGTGGCTTTTGTTATTGGTGAAGATCGTTGTTTGTGATTCTGTAGTGCCAGTTTATAGAGTCTGATGCATGATTATCTTCAAGGCTTAAAGGAGGAATTCCCTATCTTTGACTAGTGGACCGGTCTTCTTAAGTTGTGCAGAAATGAGTCTTCACACCAGTTGCAGCTTACACTGGGGATCAAGTGACAGCAGGGCTTCTCACTATTCCAGTACTTCTAATCTATTTGATAAAATATTTGCAAATTTTCTGTACATCTTTTATGTGTCCTGTTCCTTCAAGACGTGGGCACTCATGGCTCGCCACAACTTCCTCTCTTTATTACCATTCATTTAATTCTTCTCTCTTTTATGTGCCAAGTAATTTCTAAGGAAAGAAGGGTTGGAAAATTTGATACTCACAGGTCAAATTGAAGGTAAGAAGAACAAAAGAAAACAATACATAACTTACCTAATGTGCTCGAGTAAATGAATGACGAAACAAGGTTTAGAAGAGATAACAAAAAACAATAAAATTTATTAAGTTCTACAGACAACATAGTGGATAGTTGAGAGCCATGATCGCCAGAGTCCTGAAGGAAGACAGCACATAGAAGAAGACTATCAGGATATGGATGATCGTGGCTCTCCACAACTTTCTGTCTTTTGTTGTCCTAAGTAGCATTTTACTCTTTACTTCTTTTTTATGTATCAAGTACTTTAAGGATATAGATGATCGTGGCTCTCCACAACTTCCTGTCCTTTTTTGCCCTTTACCATCCTTCTTTATACCTGTTCTGCTATTCATTGTGTTTTACATTCTTCCGACTTTCTTTTCTCATTATGTGACCCAGAAATGTCAGCTGTCTTTTTTTTTTCATTGTGAATATTAGTTTCCTTATTATTCCTATTTCTGTTAAGAAGTCCGCATTACTCACATTTCCTGTCTATGCCATTCTTAGTACCCATTTGTAGAACCAAAATCTCTGTTGCTTCTAGTATCGTCTTCGTCATCTGCGATGATACTCTCCAGTATTTGCTGCCAGATTGGAGATTATTTAATACTTTTTTGTTTCTAACGACATTTCCTATCTCTATCTCTCTCTCTCTCTCTCTCTCTCTCTCTATATATATATATATATATATATATATATATATATATATATATATATATTTATTTATTACTTACTGATATATATATATATATATATATATATATATATATATATCTTACTTTCGCTATACCTATGCGCCTTCACATTTGCCGTTGTCAGCTACCCAGTTAATTCAATTTCTGTAGCTGCTTGATTTTAACGACCACGGTACGTACCTCATATCTTAGCCTGTTTCTTTTGCTGACAATCATACATTCTATCTTTTACAGTTAATAATTATTCCTTTCTTCTTGCTTTCCTTTACTAACTGGTCTCAGAATTCTTTCAGATTCCATTACAAATCTGCCATGAACACAGTGCCATTCATGAATCTTAAGATTATATCTGCCAATAATAAATCCTGGTAGGACTCCTAGTTCTCTTAAGATCGTCTCGTTGTATATGGTAAGTAAATCCGATGGCTATCTTTTTTTCCGGATTTGTACATTTGCTGAGCTCGATTATTATCAGCAAGCAGGTAGTTCGTTCCCAATAAATGTTGCAGGTTATTCTATCTTCCCAAGACGAATCGTGTTTTCGTATCAGTTCAAATTGGTTTTTGCATCGTATCTTTCAAATGATTTTGCGTTATCTACGAAACATAAACAAAGAAAAGACTACTGAACTATTACGTAATATCAGTCCTGTATGGCAGTGAATGCTGGACAATCTCCTCATAGATGAAGAAAAGACTTGAAGCGACTGAAACAAAGAAAAGGGTAAAACTGCTATCTAATAACTGTCCTACGATATGGCAGAGTATACTGAACAATCTCCTCACAAATGAAGAAGAGACTTGAAGCGACAGAAACAAGGAAAAGAGTACTGAACTGTTATGTAATATCAGCCCTCCTTATATGGCAGGGAATGCTGGACAATCTCCTCGTAGATGAAGAATAGGCTTGACGCAGTAGAAGTGCATTTCTACAGATTGATGCTGAGAACACCATGAGCCAAACAGTTTTAGAGAAAATGGAAAGAAAAAGGACATTATACTTAACATCAAGAAGAGTTGAAATTTCTAGAGCACCTAAGGAGGAAAGAGGGCTTGGAAAATTTGATACTCACCGGACATATTGAAAATATGACTTTCCTTACAGGTTAAAAACATCGAATAACCTACCTCATGGGTTGAATAACTGAATGTCGGGGCAAGGTTTAGGAGAGATAACAAACAGTCAACAATTCATTAAAATTTATAAAAACATAAAATTGCGGAGTGCCATGATCACTAATGTTTTTAAGGGACACGGCACATAGAAGAAGATAATGAAGCATAGGTATAAGCTATCTTGATCATAAAGATAGCATTTCTTGTTCCAGTCCCGGAAATGAAACCGTACTGTTCTTGCTCGATTTCTTGTCTAATTGTGCTGTGAACACTATTAGAATTCTAATTCTAAACCTACATATGTGGCTCATTGTGGAGTTCTCATTCATTTGAACCTGGCTCTAGTGAGATCTTCCGGTATTTCGCCTTTATTGTATATTTCTTTTATTATTTCAGGAATCCTGTCAACCCGGAAATCGACTATAGGCTGACAGAATTTATATTACAATCTCACCTGGTGCTACTGTTTTGCCTCCGCTAATTATTGACAATGATGATTCTTCTTTTCCATTAGAATTGTTCCCCTTTTCAATTTTATGCGTCTATTTCTACCTTGATGTATCTTTTATGTTTTTATGCCCACCCGCTATGTCTCCCTTCTGCAGATTTTTTCTGCACATTTCTCATTGGACTATTTATATTTTGCTTACTTGCAATTAGATTTAAATTTTATTTAATCTCATAATTGGTGCTAAAATGTTCTCCCAGTACAAAACTTAGATTTCTTTCATCAAACATAGGCAACATCTCTATGGTCTAAGAGCTCCAGTTTCTTCTCATCTGATCAAATCATACGCTGTCAGTATGTGTCATCTTTATCCAAGTTATCTTTAGCATACTACAGTCTGGTTTCTAGGTGTCTCTCTTGGGGAAATGGAGCTTTTCTTGCTCTGACACATCGAAGTTTGTTCCTATACACAGTTCTTGTGATTAAGACCTTCATTTCTAAATTTCGCTAAATCATTCACTAGTGTCTTGTCGGCTGTTCTAAGATCCTCAAGTACACGTCCGATAAGTTTTCTTTCAGGATCGTTGTAATAAATTTGACGACAAAGATGAGGACAGTAGTCCGAATAATGTAAATAATCTTCATGTTGTATATAAATTTTTGGAATCACCAGACCAAAGGCACATTAAAGAAAATTTATTTGATTGTATCCATCCTTACATTATATTTTTCCCTTTTGGTGTATGTCTGGCTAAAGGCAATATACTTAGAGCAATTAAGATTACTGGGTGAACATTTTGCTAACAAATAAAAAAGACAACACTCGAAACCTTTTAGATGTACCAGAATCATCAAATGTGAGATTAAATTTTAAAAAAAAGAGTTATTGCCTATGGAAAGTTTAAGAATCAGATAACCCAAAGAAAACCGACCTCATAGAGAAACATAGTGTCTTGGCGGCTGTTCTAAGATCCTCAAGTACACGTCCGACAAGACTTCTTCCAGGATCTTTGAAAATTTCCGCTTCCTACTACTATCAGTCTTGCTCTGTAATGTTTGACTCTTTTTGAACTTCTTGATAATACTTCTCACACAAGTTCTTGTAGATCTTTCTCCTGCTTTGAGAGTATCAAAAATTCTTTTTCTCAAGTCTAAAATAATTTTTTTTATTTCTGACATCATACTTTCACAGCTGATTCCTTTCTTTAAGTTGTTATACTGTGTGTATATCGGAAAGTAAACCTCAGTGTTAACGTCAATTCACAAGCTTAGAGAATTGCTAAGTTAAAGTACATCAGTACACAACCGTATTTTGTGAGATGACGCATGAAAAAAAGAATTTTACAGGGGAGATAATAATATCGAGTATGGTAAGTTTTTGGTTTGTTTTAAATAATTTTATCATTGTGTGTCAATAAAAAGAAACTTAATCTCTCTGAATAAAACTAGAGCGTGTTTTGTACTGCTGTGTTAATTGTTTTAGAATCACTTGGGAAATATTTTTGAAATTCAGTTTCTTGGTTGGGCTTGTAAACAAATGATATTGTCCCCAATTGTATGTTTGCCGCTTAGTATTTCTGTTTGTCGATCGATTGCTTTTCTAGTTTGAATGACACGTTGATGCAATAATTCGGGAAAAAGGAAAGAAAAATGTAAACAAAAGAAAGAAAAAAAGAAAGAAAGAAAGAATATAACAGTAAAGAAATAAAAAAAGCAAGAAAGTAGAAGATTGAGACGTCCTACCGGTGGAGAATATATATATATATATATATATATATATATATATATATATATATATATATATATATATA